GTTATCTGACATAGGGTGATAATATTCCCTCTAGGAGCCATAGACTATCTAACAAATACCCCAGTGCCCTAAAGAAGATAATCAAGAAAGCGGACACGGGCGAAGATGATCAATCCTCATTTAGAAAGACAAATGGGATGTGCATTGAACGTATGACAGGAGTCTACCGCAGAACACATCTGAAAGACTCTACCTAGCAGTATTTCAAAGCAGACGCTAAGACTCATAACCAAACCCTCGGCAGAGTGCAGGGAATCATATGAAAGAAGGGGAGTTAGTATGATATGGAAAGGATAGGAGCTCTACAAGGACCAAATATATCTGGGCACAGGGTCTTTTCTGAGACTGACACTCAACCAAGGACCATCTATGGATATAACCTAGAACTTCTGCTCGGATGTGGCCCGTGGTAGCTCAGTAACCAAGTAGTTTTCCAAAGTAAGGGGAACACGGACTATTTCTAACAGGATCTCAAGGGCAGGCTCTTTGACCTCCCCACCCCCCCAGGGGAGGAGCAGTCCTGTTAGGCCACAGAGGAGGACTTTGCAGCCAGTCTTGAAGATACCTGATAAAACAGGGTCAAATGAAAGGGGAGGAGGTCCTCCCCTATCAGTGGACTTGGAAAGGGGCAGGGAGGAGACCAGGGAGGGAGTGTGGGATTGGGGAGGGAATGAGGGAGAGGGATACAGCTGGGATACAGAGTTAATAAAATGTAACTAATAAGAAAAATAAAATTAAAAAAAAACAAAAACAAAAACAAAAAACCCAGTGCCAGGCAAGGGTACATGACACCTCTAAAACAATATAGGCAGTGGTGGATGAGGAAGGGAGGGAGAATCAGGTTTCTCTAGGGACAAGCCCCCTGAGAGGTTTCTTAATCCTAAGTGGTTATTCTTAAACATAATGTACGTGCAGGCAGCACTAGATGTACATTACATACAACTACCAGGCTCAATAGGGAGCAATTATGTGCGCGCGCACATGTGTTTGTTTGTGTGTAACAATAATAATTACAGAAGAGGTCATGAATTTAAAAGGTTTTGAGGGGGACATAGGAAGAGCTGCAGGAGAAGATGGAGGGGTGAAAGGGATGGACATACCTGTGTGCTCAAGTATGAAAATATAAAAAAATAAAAACAAACGAAAACAAGGTACTACCAGAACGAGATGAGTCTCTGAACCTCTGCATGCCTCCCTACACCCTCAGTGTGAGGTGGGCTTCTCTTACCACTGTGCTTGCTTCTCTTCTTCTCTCTTTCCTCTGTTCCTTCCAGTCCCGAGGATGATGCACACGCTAACACTGAGCCACATCTCTGGCTTTCAACACTTATTAGGTCAAAGTACAGGTAGGGCCTTCCTCTAGCCTTATTGTGCTTTACTCTTTTAATACATGGTACAAAGAATATCTGCTTAAAAAAGGAAGGGGAAAACAGCAGATACCCTAGCAGTCAGTACAATGACCCGTTTTGCATTTTCTTCAAACTCAATGTCATCACTCGGACAAATGGAACCACCATGTTAAGGGACTAGTGATCTTGCTCCCAAAGAGACCTTGGGTTCCCTTTACACACATCCTTGCCAGCACTTGTTATTCTACAGTGCTGGTGGGAATGTACTAGTCCAGACACTCTGGACACCAGTATAGAGTTGTCTGGACACCAGTATAGAGTTGTCTGAAGAATCTAAAAAGAAATTTACCACATGACCTAGCTACAGTACCCCTGGGTGATTTTCCCAAAGGACTCCAAGGCAACACATCGCCGACACTCACACACCATGACAGCAGTATTCGCAGTAGCTCAGTTATGGAACCAAGCTGGTACCTAACCAGAGGAGTGGGTCCAGGGAATGTTACACATATATAGTAGACAACACTCTAGCCATAAACAAAGAATGAGGGCATGCTGAGTGCAGACAAGGGGATGCAGGCAAGGGGAGGGACTCGGTATCAAAAGAATCAAGCCAGTCTCAGAAAGACAAATATGCTTTCGTTCATTTGGCTCCTAGGTTTTTATATACTCACATAAAATCATTCATGTGTGCCTGCCAGGAAGGGAGAAGTGAAGCAGCCTAGGGCCACAGAGGGGACCAACGGATGTGGGGAGGGGCGACAAGGGGGAAGCTAAGGGAGACTATGTTCAACATACCTGTATTTAAAAAAAGAGTACCCTAAACTTGTGAGGGAGGGGACCCATGCCTATCTGCCTCCCCCACAGACCTCAAGCACCATGAGAGCACCCAGTAGGCGCTAGATACTATGTATTTGTAGAGGACTGTCAACTACCTCTCAAAGCAATCCAGGAGCTGAGCCTTAATTTTCATCATTTAATCTGATCATTTTCTTTGTTCCAAGATAATATCTGGCTGAGCTTTCACAGTGGGATATTGCTATGCTAAGCTTTTTGTGTAGACCTCTGATTTAAAAAAAACAAAAACAAAACCAGAATGAGACCTTGTGTGTGTGTGTGTTCAAAAAAAAAAAAAAATCACATTAAGAAATGAAGTGTTTCTGAAATGGTCTTAACCACTCGTTTTCCTCTGCCTTAGTAAAACACGTCTGTGTGGACCGGAGCTTTACAGAACATTGGGTGTATTTGAAAGGTAATATCTAACGATTTTATCTGATGATAATACTGATAAAACACAATGTTCCAATTTCTTTTATATATATCTTTTGTTTGCCTAAGAAACAAAAATTCAACAAAACACCCTATAAGGCACTCTGCTTGCTGGTCAAATAAAAGATTTAACTTTCTATGGTCTCGGAAATGCCTGCCCACTGGTAAACTTTTGAGCTGTTGGGAATGCTTTTCCCACTAGACAGGAAGGGATTTCAGGACATTTTATGGCTTGTGATCTCTCCTGTTCTTGTTTCCCACTCCTCTGGAGAGGAAGAGTACTGGATGGGGCTGGAATCCAGCCCTGGCTAGGGAGGGCAAGGCTCAGGGTCTGACCACAGGGAACAGGGCCCAAAATAACCATCCTAGGTCATTCTTCTCCAGAACCTGACTTAAAAAAAAAAGAGGAGGAACATGAAGAATAGAGAAAGAAAGGAAAGACAGAAATGTAGGCAGAGGTGAAAGGGACTGACCTACAAAGGTCATAGGTTCAAAAGCCACGGCTCAGTAAGATCAGAGGGAAGGGCTCACCCTGATTCACTGTCCAGTGTGTGGGTTCTAAAGCAGACCTTGCACTAAGAATAGTAGGATGAATCGAGCTGATGCTCACTGACTGCTAGCTGGGCTAGGCACTGTTGTAAGCACTTATCGACGTCACCTCAGTTAATCTTCTCAACAGCCCTGTAGGAGGGACTGCCATTCCCCATTTTGCCGACAGACGCTGGCCAAAAACTCAATAAACTGCCCAAGGCTGGACAGATGGCACATAAATACGTTATTTTAAATCATGGCCTCTGTTTTTAAATTTTATTCTGGCGGAGGCTAAGGCGAAATATCACATTCTGTGAAATTGTGGTTAAACTCTATATAACCCTGCTGCTAGAATCAATATGCCTGGCATACAAACTCTGAAAGCTCAACAGAAGAGTCATGCCTTGTAAGTGCATCAGCAGCTGGGGAGAGTCAGCGCCACCTGAGGACTGCACGAGGACACACTGGCAGCCAGATCCCCCATACGTCAACACAAAATGTCAACACCATCTTAGGAATTGGGCTCACCAGACAGGGAAGCTGGATTCACCAAGAAAGCCCCAAAGGGAGACGGTGGGTGGGAAATTTGGCAGAACCCAGTTGGCCCTGCTGGGAGAAGACAGGTCACACTGACTCTGTTGGGGAAATGAAGACTTTGGACTGTTAATGGAGCGATGCCATCAGAACCTTCCCATCAAAAATCTCCGTTCAGATTTAGCACATTAAAACACACGACCTTGACCACGCAGAGAGGCATCCATTTTCTAGGGAACATGTCAGTTATGATTGGAGAGAACACTCCTGTCATCTGAACTTAGAAGTGTTCCCTGACTGTACATTTCCATGACCCTGAGCTCACCTCAAGGACTGACATTACTGGGGTTATAAAAGCTGCCTGGTGATGAAGCCTGTGAGGATGGTCATCCTGGGGTGATGCCTGGCCTGGAGGAATGCCGGACCCTTTGGACCAGTGGTTCTCAACCTTCCTAATGCTGCGACCCTTTAATACAGTTCCTCATGTTGTTGTGATCCCAATCACAAGATCATTTTCATTGCTCCTTTATAACTGCAATTTTGCTACTGTTATGAATGGTAATATAAATTTCTGATATACAGGATATCTGATACGTGACCCAACAGGGGTCGTGACCCACAGGCTGACAATCACTGCTGCAAACAGTCCTATGAACTCTTTCCTGGGATGTGAACTTGGTCACTGCGTCTAGGAAAAGTCAGAGTCCCATGCTGCAGGCTTCAAAGTATGGCCTGGGGACCTCTCCAGGGCGTGTGTCTGCGAATCAAATCTAGTGACATAACGCCATTGGGTGCTAGCTTCACTTTAATGGTAGAGGCTACATATGGGTGACATCATAACAGACTGAGTGACAGCAACTGAGAGGGTACAACAGTCAGCTTTTAAGCTGCACAATGAAGACGGCTTCGGAAACAGGAAATGACGCCACCTCCCTCGCTAATTTTGTCCTTTACTTTTGGAACTGGTCATAAAACATAACACAGTGGTTTATTATTTTAAAACTGATAAATCACTCTATATATTTAAGCATTTCCCAGTTTTGCTTCCTCTAGAGTAACTTCAGTGTATATATGAAGCTCACACAAATTAAAGCTCTTTATGATTCTTAATAACGGAGTGCAAACAGGTTCTAAGAGCAAGAGGCTTGAGAACCACATGGCTTGAGTGGCCCCAGATAGGGAAGTAAGGACCCTCTGCAAGTCTGAGCTTCCAGTGCTTTCCATGATCCAGGCTCAGAGGGAGACCAGGGGCACCTCCTGGGGCTGCTTACGTCCCCTATGGCACACTGACTTACAGTCCCTTCATTTGCGTCTCACCTTTATTCCCGTAGAGCTGTGGGGGCAGGTCATAGGGCACAGGAAAGGAGGCCGCTGGCTCGCAGCTGCTGGAGAAGAATTTCTGTTTCACGTTGAAGGTGTCCAGGCCCTGCAGGCACACAGAGGGAGGCTATGACTGAATCCTGTTTTCTAGACTAGCCAGAAGATTCTAGGAAGCAATTTATCTTCATGATACACCCAGGAAAACCGAGTGGTTTCAGAGCTCTTTTCTATGTTGGGTAGGAAAGTGTCTTCTATACTCCTCCCAACCCCCAATCATTTTCTTCTACAAATCTAAGAAAGGCTGCATGTAAGAGTGAGGTTAAATGCTGTGAGGAAACAAGAGGAACAGTGCTGTGCTGGGTGTGAGCCTATTTCTACCAAGTACCATGCAGCTGGCAGGGGTTTCTAGGACTCCCTGGATGAAAACATCCCAGAATACTTTCAACATTGCTATAGTAACAGGTGATGAGCACAACCCCATCAAGGTAAAACAAGAATACTGAGCACGCACAGCACAGCAAAGAGCATGGCTACGAAACGATGACGTCATTGGCCCAACCTCCTTGAACGTAAAGCTAGAATTGTATCCATCAGGACACATAATTGACATACAATAAGCTCCGCTCCAAAGCCTGACCTTACCCCATTCCTCAAAGTTCTCTTATGGAGTAGCCCAAGATCCCAAGATCCCAAGATCCCACATAAGCCAACAATCCTTTGTCCCTGGGGAACTTGGGAGCTTTTGGTTATGAGACCACATAGGTCCTTACTGTTGGATGTGAGCCTGTCTTGGAGTCCCTGCTGGCATATACATAAGGACCTGAGGCTGACAGACCAGCAAGCTTTCCTTCTGGGTTGGGCATGGTACCAAGCTCTGGATTGATATGAATCAACAAACATCATCATTCCCATCCTTATAGAATGCAGAGAGTGGGGAGAGGCGCTAAACAGATACATTTATATAGAGGTCCAACAAATGATTAAAATTTGTGGTAAGCGCTGTGAACAGCCTTGGAGTACTGTAGAATAGTGGCCTGTTTTAGACTTGCTGGTGAGGGCCAGTAGATGCCTCCCTCTGAAGGGTGACACTGTGGTTTACCTGAAAGATGAATAAGGTTTGCAGAGGAGTGTCGAAAGAATAATGTTGCAGGTGGGGAACAGTAACCAGAGGCCCAAGGCCTTTCAAGTTCTGGGAACTAAGAAAGATAGTCAGTGTGACAGGTGGCTAGTTACTTAATAAGCCTCAGTTTCTTCATTGGTCAAAGGAGGTGGCCATTTATTATGCTAATGTTTGCCCTAGTTTGGTTTCTATTCTATAACCAGGGAACTTGGGAGGAAAGGGTTTATTTATTTCATTTAATAGCCTACAGTTCATCATGAGCTGAGTCAGGGCAGGAGTTCAAGGCAGGAACTCACATAGAGACCACAAGTGAATGCTGCTCACTGGCTTGTCTCCATGGCTTGCCTAGCTTGTTTTCTTATACACCTAAGACCACCTGCCCGGGGGTTGTGCCATTCACTGTGGGCTGGGTCCTTCCTAATCAATCATGAATCAAGAATGCCCCACAGACTTGTCTACAGGCCAGTCTGGTGGAGGTATTTTCTCAGCTGAGGTTCTCTTCCCAGATGACTCCAGCTGTGCAACATTTCAACCTTCAGTCCCTCGGATAAGTCCTGCTGCAGAGTCATCTGGGAAGAACCGCTGAGCTGCAGGCATGATGTGAAAGTGCCTGTCCTGCTTTCTTTATTGGCTTCTGCATAAGAGCAGCTGTAGTAACACTTGGGAAAGCGTCTTGTGCATATGAAGAACCACAGAAGAGGGCTGGAGATGCGGCTCAGAGATAGAGAACTTTCCTAATGTGCATACTGCCCCAGGTTTAATCCCCAGCACAGCAGGAAGATAAAACCACAGGAACCTACAGGCAGGTATGAGGTTATGTCGGTGGCAAAGATGCTGACTGATGCGCAAAGGGCAGAGTGTGACACAGCCTGGCAGAAACACTAGGCAAAAAAGGGGAAGAATGACTCAGTGCTGTGGCAGGTGAAGGAAAGGCTTTGTAAAGAATAGTGCTTTAGCTGGGTTTTTTTTTAAATGTGGCAAAATTCTGACAAATGGCAATGGCAGGCAAGAGTATGGGGGGGGGTAGAGAGAAATACATTCAAGTGCAGGCTGGAAAAGCTTAGAGAAAGCATACCTCAGGGTACCGAGTGCACTGATGTGTGTGGGGGGGCTGGGGGCTGCTGGCAACTGTTCACACGTCTCTAAATGAGAAGAGAGGTGGACATCTGTGCTTTGCATCTCTTAAGCCAGGTACACTGTCTGGTTATTAGTGACTCAGACATGAGTCAACCTGGGGGTGTTGGGGGAGATGTCTTGTTGCTGGGAGCCCTTGTGTCCATCAACACTGAAGATATGGCTTGACTCTTGACTAAGCCCTGCCTTGAAGCCAAGAACTCTCCTTCTGTGCTGCCTTGTCTGGATTTGTTTGAGCTGACTGCCTGTCACTCTCACCTAGATGTACTTCAGGGATCCAGCCAGGAGTCTGACTTTCTCATCAACTGACAGTGAGGAGCTGAAGAGGTTCTGAAGGAGACATCTCATTGTGGGGTAGCTGGAGCAGCCTGGGTAATAGACTAGACTGGAGAATGCTCAGTCAGGTAATCATGAGCTCGCACAACAGAAACAGGAAGTGGACCCAGAAATGGGAGATACAAGTCTAAGTATTAGAAATTCGAAAGGCAGAGGAAGCTTAAAGGCCAGGGATCCCTGGAGACTTGGGGTCTGGCGAGGGGAGCTGAAGATGCTAAAGGCTGACACTGCAAACAACACACTCTCCATTCAGCAGGGGGTGCCAAGTCATGTCACCACAAGCCACCACCTTGTCCTTTCTTAACATCTTACCTTTGATGCATTCTGGATCAGAGGGTGGGGAAGTGGGGGAGGGGGAAGGGATGTCTCTTCTTTTTGTAGACTATTTGTTTGCTATGTGGCTTGAGGTAAGTACTTTTCTGGGCCTTGGTTTCCTCATCTGGGGAATGAAGGTAAGACAACAGCATCTAACTCACAGAGGCCTTGTGGGGATTCGCAAGCTCTTCAGGGCACAGGAATGTGCTCTGTGACAGTGACCCCTGCTTCCGAGAGGAGGAAACATACCTGGGGCTTGCACAGATGTCCAGACACCCTGTGTTGAGGATTTATGGTCCTATACTCTTCTACTAAGCAAATAGTGGGTGGAAAATCTTGCAGCTTAAGTCTTTATCTCACAGTCTCATCACTAGTTCTAATAGCCACAAAGCCACGGGAGAGTTGATGCCTTTAACCCAGTATTCAAGCTCTTAACCCAATTTTGGTGCTCTACATATTCCAAGCCTGGCCTCCCTCTTGTCATGTCTGACCTCAGACATAAGAATGTTTGAACATCTATGTCTGACAAGAACCAATGTGCTTTTTTCTCGAATGCCATTTCTGATCCAAATTCTAGGGTATTAAAAAAAAAAAGTACCACTTTTCCCTTCAATCTGTGTGTCAAATTATTTGAGGCTGTCTCCTAATTATCATTATTTATATATCACAGTGGTATTGCTTGGCATTTTACAAAACAGAGGAAGGCACCCTCCCAGGCATAGATATTTAAGACAGTTAAGACAATGTGTTCATAAAACACCAGGTGAGAGGGTGGACATGAGTCACACATGACAAATTGCTGGCTTCCCACCCCTCCCCCCCCCAGCTGGAAAAGTGAAAGCACTAGTTATTGCTGGGATCACCCAGGCTCAGCAGTTCGACTCAATCACAGAGAGAAGTCTGCTCAGCTCGAAGTCCCACATGTGGTTTACTTGGTTAGTTGCACATGCTTGTGTAGCGACCTTGAGTGTAAAACTCTAAGGAGGCACTGGTTTTTGTTTGTTTATTTGTTTTTTGATTTTGTTTGTTTCTATGAGACAGGGTCTCACTGTGTAGTCCTTGCTGGCCTGGAATTTTTATGTAGACCCAGGTTGGCCTTGAACTCACAAGAGACCTAAGGTGCTGGGTTTCTCTGGATGGAACTTAGACAGCAGCTGAGTTTGCCATAGGAGCAAGGAGGGGCCCAGAAGAAATATGCCTACTTTATTTGATGGGCTGATGGGTGAGGAAGGAAATGACAGAAAGGTGGACCGTCCCCCTGATGCTTGCAGCCAGGGTCTGGGGAAAGGTCAAAGAGTGGGCACACCAACAGGGCGCTGGAGAGATGGGGCTTTGGTAGCTGAAGAGCTTCAGTGGGAGTGCAGCTTAGGGGAAGGGTCAGTATGACAATACAGGGTGGCATCAAGACTGTGGTCTGGCTGCAAGCCTAGAGGGTTTGCTCCCATGCCCAGCAGCAGCCTCTGTGAGTCTCGGGGAAATAACCCTTTGCACGTTCAGGCTTTTAAGTCTTGTGACTCCATGAATTTGTTTCTAGGTGGTCCCCACTACAGGGCAGGCTTATGGGAGTAAAGTAAGCAGGCCAGTCTAGCTCTGCTGACAAGTAGGGTCCCATTCTAATCTCATGTCAAGTCCTTTTCCCACTTGTCAGTTTGGCTCCTGTTGATCTGGGTCCCTCAGGCTTCCACCTTGGTGCCTGGAGAGTTCGGTTTCTTTTCTGGAGCCATTTCTCCAATGTGTTCACTCAGTCTGTCTCCTTCCACATTATTTCAGGGGGACGGATTCATGGGTAGAATTAAGAGGTTACAAGAAATGCCACATGGAGCACCTGCCTAGCTGTGGCCTCCTGGGAAACTGTGGGAGCCCAAGTAATGTCTGGGCCGAGACTGTGTGGAGGGACAGTGAGGAGGGCTCAGGTGTGGCGCTGGCAAATTGCATAAGATCTTCCAGCCACACCACAGTCTTAGCAGAACCATAAGATCATCTGAGAAGATATCATTTGCTTGTGGTATGTGCCATCTTTGAGAACAGCAACAACAAAAATGGCAATTTAACTAAATCAGAGAGGGAAGAAGGTAGCCTTGATGATCGAAGTAATGACTTTCTGATTTTATTCAAGGTTTTTTTTGTTTTTGTTTTTGTTTTCTGTGTTTCTTAATCCTGACTACAGAAAAGTAGGAACCCATTACCTCAGAAGCAAATGAACGTTGGGCTCAGAAGAGGCTGGGATGGTTCTCTGTTTCCATCACGGGCAGAAACATTGTCTTCATCTAGCACAGCGGTTCTCAACCTTCCTAATGCTGTGACCCTTTAGTACAGTTCCTCATGTTGTGGTGACCCCCCCACCATAAAGTTATCTCACTGCTCCTTCATAACTATAATTTTGCTACTGTTATGAACTGTGATGTAAATATCTGATATGCAGGATACCTGATTATGCAACCCCTATAAAAGGATCTTTACACCCCAAGGAGTCAAGACCCACAGGTTGAGAAATACTGTTCTACAGCAATTCTAAAACTGCTAATGGCATTCTTGTTGTAAATAAGGCTCTCCATCCACTACAGGTTTGGGGCTGTAGGAGTGCTAAGTCACATGGCCAGTTACTGATTACTGAAAGACAGGTTTAGTCGCAGCCGTGGGAAAGTGAAGGACCTCTGGCTACTGCCTCTGCCTGTTGGGTGCTACACATTCCTGTTTGCAATGCTGGTCTCCAGTCAGCGTGCAGGATGCCTGACTGCAAAGGCTCCATGCTGAAGGACGGAAGCAGCACCGCTGGGTGCTGATGACTCAGAAATGTGGGTGGCACAGACACCAAGCTCTGCCCAAGAGGCACAGAGAAGACTGACCGATGAGGAAGGCAGATCTGGACGGTGTCTGGCCAGCAGGATGACTGCAGGACTCTGGATGAGCTAAGACTCCAGCAACCATGGCATAAACCGCATCGAGGTGTGTCTCACTAGCAACAAACTGGGGACACTAATGTGACCTCTGACCTCAGCTCACAACAAGCTGTGTTCTTCTCAGTGAACACTGTAAGGTTATTATTAATACAGAAATCTTTAAGACATTTCTTAAGTGAGTACAGAGAGATTAATACTGCATGGCGATTTGTATTGATTATTGCACTGTTGAAGTTCCTCACACATACTTACGAAAGTGTGTGTGTGTGTGTGTGTGTGTGTGTGTGTGTGTATGTATAACTTCAACAAGAGTGTTTCAAGTGAGCTCATTCAGAGTTCAGATGCACAGTGCCACCACACGAAGCTGAGTCTGCACACACATTGCTGTGCATGCATCTCCTGTTCAGAGAGCCAGCTGTTCAGAGCACAGTGCAAACTCCAGAAACTTGGGAAGCTCAGGGCACTTGCTGCTCTTCAGAGGACCCCAGTTTGACTCCCAGCAACTACACGGCGGCTCATGATTGTGTGTAATTCCAGTTCCAGGGGAACTGACATCTTCTGGCCTCCATGGGCACCAGGGAAACTCTCAATGCACAGACATACATTCAGGCAAACACTCACACCCAAAAAATAGTAATTAAAAAAAAAAAAAAAAAAAAGGGAGTGCAGCACAGAGAGGGAAGGGTGTGGCTTAAGCAGTCAGGGGTTACAGCTGGAGGCACACAGGAGGCTGTGTGTTCCTGGCCTGAAGCTGGCAGGCGGCACTAGCCAACTCGTGGTCCATAAAGACCATCTGGCAGCAGGATGAGGCCAAGCTTGCAGATGGCCTCTGGGGGGTGGAGGGTGGCTTGAAGACAGGAGCCTCAGGGAAGGAAGCAGAGGCTGATGTTGAGCAGCTGGCATGCCCTGGCCACAGCGGCTGCAGGGATGACCAGAGGTGACATTATCAAGCAGCGCTGAGCAGTTAGGAATGGCAAGAACCAGTGATTAAAAGATACAGAGAGAAAGAGCTACCATGGCCATTTCTCCTGCTTCAAAGCAAGGAAGTAGGGTGACCAGTAACAGTAACTCATTAGCAATCAGACCGTCTGGCTAGTGTCCTTTAAATGATTAAGCTGATTTTGATGACATTTGCAAATGCCACATATCCTCAAGTACCTTCTGAATAATATAAGTGATAATCTATAATTTAAGAATTATGTTTTGTAAGACTCAGGGGCTCTGTCAATTGGCTTGTGATGCCGACTGTCTTTCCACGTCCAGGTGGGACCCAGTCCATTCCAGTAAGTCTCGTCCTGCAATAGTCCAATCTCCGAAAATTATGGCCCATCCTCACACCTCAGCCCGGCACAGAGCCCGTGCCCCCACCGGCCAGAATTCCTTATAGCTAGAAACTTCTGTGACCACGCTTATACTTATCATCGGCTCTGTACTTTGTATCTACCTATGTCCATGTGCCCTTGAGACTCCTGAGAATGAAGACCACAGCTTGTTTCTCTTTCTTTCCCCAGGGCCCTCTCATAGGGGAGGCCTATGGACCTGAGCTGGCATTGATGAGCTTGGCCCTGGGCCACTGAATGCTCAGCTCTGAGCACATTCCCTAGGTCAAGGATAGCTCGGAAGAGACTTTGCAAAAGCCAGCAACAAACGGCAAAGAAGAAAGGCATGGAATGTACTCCATCAGTTGAGTCAGTACTGAGAGACAAGTCTTACCTAGATTAAGCCAGTCCCCACAACAGCAGCAAGTATCTGCGCACTGCAGTCTAGATTCACGAACTTGCACTTTCCCAGAACAGTGATAGAAGTGAAAGATAGAGGGAACAGGCAGAAGGCAGAGGCCTCGGGGCTAGACCCAGATCTAGCTGTGGAACCTCAGGGACATCACTTCCTTGTTGTTGAAGCTGTGACACTGAAATCTAGCTGTAAGCAGCAAACGGATATTTACTCAGTAAGGAAGAGATGGAGCCCAAACCTTATGGCAGTGCTTAGAGTGGGCAGTTAGTTACTTCCTGAAACCCTCTTGGGTGGAAGACAGGTACAGACTGGCAAGTGGAGGAGAGAGCGGTAAGAGCGCTGCTCCCCAGAGGATGGGGAAGAGGGGGAAAGAGAGAGTGCTGCTGGGCGTGCTAAGAAAGTGGGTGCTTTGCAGCACGCTGTGAGACTGTGCATCTGTTAATGCTCATGGGCTGATTTAAGTCTATGGCCACAGTCATGGTACTGCCTTAGCTAAACCTAGTTCATCCCAAGCAGCTCACAGTGGACCTGTCCTAAAACTACAACAAGTTACCGGTAAAAGGGGAAATGGGGGGAGGGATTAGGCATCTCCCTGCATGGCAACCCTGACTGTACGCTGTCATTAGGAGTGTTCCTGGAGAGTGTGAGGTGGGTGGGAGAGGTCCCAGGGCTTCTGTACTCAGAGAAATGAGTGTCTGGAAGCAGGATTCTAGTGTGTAGTGAAGCATATAGCTTAGGCCACCTGGTCCCCACAGGCACGGCAGACACGTCATCTGGTATTTGGCCATGGAAGCTGTTACCCGTTTCAAAGCTGCCAAGGAGCTGATGTTCTGAACATCTTAAGAGACCACTTCTAGCATAGTGCATTTCTGGGTGCTCATGTCACAGGTGTCCTCAGCTAAACCCCGAACTCTCTGCTCTCCAGCTTTGCAAATGCCAATTCCTTTTCTGTTGTAATGCCTCTTCCGACCTCTCCCTGTAGACCCTCTGTACCTTTCACTTCCCCACCACCCCCAGCCCCCAAAGTCCTGTGCATGGCTGGGCCACTCCTTTGATAACTTGCTTCCCATGGTATAAATCTTCACATCATGCTTCACAGTATTTACTTAACATGGTTATTAACCTCACTTTTCAGCCTCTGGCCAGGTACCTCACATTAAAACCATGGGTTTGGGATTAGAATCCTGACCTTGCTACCAGACAACGCTGGGCCCATATTGGGACCAGAGGAAGAGAACAGAGAGGTCCCACTCATAACACGTGTGAGGGAGTGGCCAGGTGAAGTGTGACTCACAAATGCCGACGGGAGGAAAAGGACCCCAAGTTCGTAGGAGCGGATCATCAGCTGGGTGCCATTCTTCTCCAACGCTCCCCAGGCAGCCTTGGACAGATTAGCACTGTGGAGACAAGGACACAGAAGGGGCTGTTTCAGTGTGGCATCTTAGTGGGGTCAGATGTGCACAGCTGCAAGGGCATTGGTCAAAAAATATATAGCCGCAATCATGTTGATTCAGTTTTGAGCACAACTGTGGTATTGAAAAGGAAATTTACGCCCCACTGGGCTGTAATTCTCAGGACTTATCTCATTGCCAATTTGGGATAGCTTCACCCTCATTTGCATACCCCCAGAGCAGTTATTAAAATGATTATCTTCCTTAGAAGTATTTTTTTTTCCATGTCCAAACTCCCTTTTCTTTTTATAGTCCTGGTATTGCTATGGCTTCTAGTTTTGTTGTACATAAAAGCAGCCCTTAAGAAAGATCTGTGGGGCTGGAGGCCTGGCTCAGTGGTTAAGGGTGTGAGTGAGTGAGGCTCTTACAGAGGACCAGAGTTTGATTCCTAGCACCCATGTAGTTCCCGAGTGCCAGTAACACCAGATCCAAGGGATCCAATGCCCTCTTCTGGCCTCCAAGGGCACTACAGTCATGTACACAAACCTACACACAGATACTTACACATTACTAAAACTAATAAAAATAAAAATAAAAAAAACCTTTAAAAGAAAAAACAATATTATCATATACATGTAGCCACTTTCCATCTTTTTTGGGGGGAGGAACAACTAAAGCTGGTTTCTACGTTTGCTGAAAAGAAAGCAGCTCTGGGGCCACTAGCCTGGTACTTGCAGTCAGAAAGAAATGGCTCATTTAGAAACATGTTTAATATAGACAGAGTTGTGGGTATGGCTTAAAAAAAAAAATTTCCCAGCACAGCAGGAGGAAGGAGACCTGAATAGACACAAAGGAAATGCCAAGATGCTGACTTCACAGAAGTAAGAGGAGCACAGCACTCCCTGGAGGCTGGGAAGGGGCAGGGCTTAGGGAGGGCAGAGGAAGGCCAGTCAGCTGGTGTCAAAATGAATCCTAGAGCTCTGCACAGCCAGAAACAACTCCTGCATTGTTTGCTTCTTTGCTTGTGGCTCACAGTTTGAGGGTACCTATTATGGCTATTACGGCTCGGCGGTGACACTGACTGCAGCTGTCGCTGCAGGACCACATGCAGCTGATGCTGTGGCCCTAGTTCGGGGGCTGAGAGGGAGGAATGATGGACCATGGACAGTGTGGACCACATTCGAGGTGAGTCTTCCCTATTCACGTAAACCTTCTGCAAACACCTTCACAGACATACCCAGAGGACTGTCTTCCTCTAAATCTTGACAGGTTGACAATCAAAATTAACCATCATAAAGTGTGTGTGTATAATTTGAGGATAACAGGAATGCAGGCGCTATAAAGGGGAAGATGGGAGAGGGAACTAACTAGAAAGAGGGTAGGGAGGAGAGTGGGTAATACAGAGGATAGAAGAGATAACACTAAAACTATTTGAAAAGCTATAGGGAAGCCTAGTACTTGATAAGCTAGATATATTTCTCTCCTCAGACAAAAAGGATGTTCCTCAGGAGCCATAGATGATCTAACAAAAACTCCAGTACTAGATAGGGAATATTTTGCTGCAAGTTGTTGGTCAGAAAGGTCCACAATACCTCCTAAACAATACAGGGGACAGCTGCTGCCCTTGGTTAATTCCCAGAATATGAAGGCAAAAGTCTATTGCTGAAGACACTATACAGTTCTGTCATGGGACTTGGGGGACTTGGGGACTTGGAGTACTGGCCTGGAAGCCTCCGCCTTGAGGCCCAGCACTTACAGTATCTGAGGGTGTTATACAAGTGCCAAGGGGAAAGTAAACAGCAGCCCTATCCAGCAGTAAATCCTGAGAACTTCTCACACATTATAAAGAGGGCTAAATGACATGAGTTGAAGAAATTCAGAGATGAATGTTTGCAGAGATGGAAACAGTCTTTATTCTGCTTTGATCACTGTATACTGTATATAGTATTGCCCATAAATGTGTGCAACTTTAGAAAATTGCTCTGCTAATTAATCAGAGTAAACCTACCTCATGGCCTTAAAACAACAACAACAAACAAACAAACCAACAAACAAACCAACTAGGTTTGCCTAAGTTCTACTTCTCTTTAAAGATGGCTATTAGGAGCTGGCAGTGACAGCGCAGGTGGGGGATCAGGATCAGGAGTCCAAGGCTGGCTTGGGCTACAGGAGACCCTCCCTCTAAGAACATTTACCTGCCTTCTCAAGCAGTTGGAGCACACTGGGGATGGGGAGCCTTTCTGTGGGCACAAGGTCATAGAGAAACAGAAGTAGAGAGGTATCACTTTAGGAAAACATTTAGGAAAGACAACCTGTAAGAAATAAATGGCACCTTCCGCATGCTAAGGCAAATGTCTAATGGCTGAGGTCAAGGTTATCTTCTCAAAGCTTTTCTTACTTTCTAGATCTTCGCCTTCTGGGTAACTCCTGTGAATGTCAGCAACATGATACCCCGAGCCAAAGGTGCCCTTGGAAAGGTTTCTCATTCTTCCCGCATTAACTGTGTCCCCTTACATGTCACAGGTTGAGGGCTTATCCCCAGCAAGGGTAAATGGAAACCAGGGGGCACTCTTACAAATGGCTCCCTCCTAGCCTGTTTCTGTACTTGCCTTCTAACCAAATTCCCAGTTATCTGCAGCCTTCAAAATCTATCCTGAATACTGGGAGACTTGAAAGACACTTGTAGGTTGTCTGGGTGACAAATCAACATTCCTTGAAATGTCATCTTTAATATTTTCTTACATTATGAGTAATGCTTTGAATCACTGGTACCCAGGGCGGCCAGGAAGACTGGGGATGTATTTCTAAGCTCTCTCTGTCTGCTCTGGGTGTGGGTGGTATAGATAGGTAGAAAAAGCCACCAGTGTCTTCTACAGGGCAAAGTAACACCCTGAGGCTCATGCAAAGTTCGTGTGCTACTAGGACTTGGAAAGCGTTTTAGCTGCTCTTTTCCGCTCATACCCAACGTCCACTCCTCCATCCTTCTAGCTTTTTCCTGCTTCTCTGTGGACCCAGCAACCTTTCTCCCACAGTCCCAGGTGCATTTATTCACTTTCACTGTATTCGAAAGGGAAGGATCCTTTGAGGGATGTGATTGTACAGAGTTAGATTTAGATGAGACTGGGGACATTCAGTGTGGTGTGGCTGTAGACAAGGGTAGATTGAGGATGTGACAAGTGTTACTGTCTACCAGAAACCACCCAGGCTACTGATGAGGTAACAGTGAAAAAGAGCAACTTTTGAGGGACAGAGGTGTATTAGTTAAAGCTCAATCAGGGCTAGAGAGTTAGAAGACTGCAGCTAACAAAGATGGATGTGCATGCTTTTTTTCTAGAAATCTGACTTCTTGCAGTTGTGGGAGCTGGTGAACACAGCATTGTAAGACACAGCTCTGTGAGCTTTGCCCTGATATGGGAGCTGGGTGTCTACCAAGAGCAGGTAAAATACGAGCAACACCCTAGAACCATGATCATGAATTAAGGCCATGAGCACACAAACTCAGGTCAGGTCATGTGGCCTCTAGCATTGGCTGAGTTTCTTAGAGAAGGCAGACCATATACCCCAGAACTAGGTGAACACACAGAGGAAGGCCCAGGGGTCAGAGGAGCTTTGGAGGACTGCGGAAGGAAAGCAGGTTCAGCTGCTCCCTCATGCCAACGGAGTGAGCCGGTGCACAGCGACACAGTAACAGAATGCGTTACCAAAATGACATCTGTCTCTCATTCAACCTGGAAACACCCCGGAGAATGTCTCGGGTTCATCCTAATCAGAAATATACAGGGACAGGAATTCTGGAAAACATGTTTTATATAATCGGAGGGTGACTCCATTTACCAAGCGTTAATGACTATGTTTATACTACCACACTGAAATCCTAACTCCCAGTGTGAGAGTCTCAGGAAGTGACACATGTACAGCCCCCGAGAGACAAAAGTGACTTTATAAGAGGCCTAGGAACTGCCTTGGCCTCTTTCCACCACGTGAGGGTATGAGAAGTTAGCTCTCTGCAACCTTAGAAGAAGACTTGATCTCATCTTTACCTGTCATCCCAGCCTCCAGAACTGGGAGAAACACACTGTGGGGTTCAGAAGCCACAGGTAGTGCTTACACAGCAGCCTGGACTGAACAACACACCAAGACAACATTGCTAAGGTAGTGACCTACAGGGGACATGGATAGTGATAATCACTCTGCCTTAGCTTCTCAGCTGTGGCTGCTCACTAAAGGCTTCACCTTGGTCCAAAGTATAAAAAATTCTGTATCAACTTTTGAAAAATAAATATATACCATCAACCCTAAGAACGTCTAAATGAAATCTCAGGAGACTGCTTGTAAAGCACATATGGGATACACAAGGCACATATGGATTAGTGTGTAAGAAGCCAGAGAGGAAAGGAAGACAGAGCCTGAGAAAAGAACCCCACAGCTGGAGCGGATGGCTTATCCCTACTTTCTATTAACAGTGACTCCCCAGGTCCTTATTCTCCTCTGCTTTGGGCTCTTGTCTCTACAGTGGGTATGTGTGGGAGAAGGGTGGCCTTTGAGACCCAACACTTTACCAGACCAGATTCTCCAAGCCACTGTCTGCACATCTACCTGGGGAGCTCCCCTGTCACCCCAAAGAGAAAAATTCCTAGTTTCCACTGAGAGCCTCATACCAAGAGTGCTTACTGGGTCATGATAATCTGCCGGAGATAGCTATTCAAGAGAAGGGACCCCATGAAGATGGCCTCAAGGCTAAAACTTGCTCCATGGATCTTTCAGAGCCTAAACACTGGTGGTAGCAGAGGCAGTCATGGCCAGTATTGGCTTGAGCATCATTAGAGCTGCTGACCGGGCTCACTGCTAAGTTTTTGTTAAAGATGGAGGCATCCTCTGGGGTGACTGCTGCTACTAGGACCTGTTGGCTGATGAAGCATTTCTCTGGATCTCAATTACACAACAGTCTAGGCGGCAGCTTCATGAAAAAAAGACAGGGCTTATATACTGAAGCTACCACACCCCTG